CAGCAGGAGATACCCAGACCCACCTGGATGTTCCTCTCGCAGTCCGTCTGCTGGTGCAGCGCCAGCTCGCTCTCCAGCACGAACTTCTTGCCGCACTTGTCGCAGATCTGCATGCGCCGGTGCGTGACGTTCATGTGCTTCTCCAGGTACCAGCGCGTGTTGAACACCCGCGGGCACTTCTCGCACGTCAGCGTCTCCTTCTCCTCGCACTTTGCTTTGTGCACCGCTGCCCCTTTGGGCTCTTTGGCCGTTTTCCTCCTCCTGCGGGCGGGTTCGGCGCTGCGGCCGCGGCCCCGCGTGGCTCTGCCGGGCGGAACCGGCACCGGAGCGGCGGCGGCGGCGGTGGTGGTTCTGCGCGTCCTCCTGGGGCCGGCGCCGCTTTTTTCCGGCCTTTTTTCCTTCTTTTTCTTCTTCTGCCTCTCGTTCTCCTCGTARTCGTTGCTGTCCTCGGTGGCCTCGGCCGCGCTGTCGCCGCTGTCGCCGCTGTCGCTGCTGCTCTGGAGCACCGCGGTCTCTTTGGACTGCGAGGGGACGCCTTTGTCCCCCTTGGACACGTTCAGCGTTTGGTTGTTGAGGTTCACCTCCACGATAATCTGCTCCCTTTTGTAAGAAGTCACTTCATCCTCCTCCTCCTCCTCCTCATCATCATCATCATCATCATCCTCCTCATCCTCATCCTCCTCAGACTCATCCGAGTTGTCCCTTCCCTCTTTGCCGGTCCTTCCGTCCTCCGCGGGGCGGTTCTCCCTGAAGAAAGGCTGTTCCTCCCTGTCCCTGTCCCTGTCCCTGTCCCTGTCCCTGTCCCTGTCCCTGTCCCTCTCCCTGTCCCGATCCTGGGGGTGCCCTTTGCTGCTTTTCCCGTCCCCCAGCCCCGGGAAGGCTCCGCCCGCCTCTCTCCGTCCTCCCTTGGTGGACAGGTCCAGCTCATGGCCGGGGTAGAAGGAGCCCGGTGCCGGTTCCTGGGCCATGGTGGGCGCGGGGGGCTCTCCCGGCGCCTCGGGGTTCATTCGGGGTGGCCTCACGGAGCCCCTTCCATGGCTCCGAGCGCGGCCGGGACGCTCCTCCGGCCCGGAGCCTCTTCCATCCGGGGGAGGGATCACGGCAGGGGCAGCGCGGGGGAAGGGAGCGGAGAGAGACGGAGCATCTCACCTGCGGGGAGAGGAGAGAGAGAGGGGTTAGGGGTGGGATAAATCCCCAAATTCCTGAGGCAGGGAGCAACGGGATGGGGGAAAATCCCGAAATTCCTTCGGCAGGGTGAGAGGAGTCGGGAAAAATCCCGAAATTCCTGGGTCAGGGGTGATGGGATGAGGAAAAATGTGGGATTTCGGAGTCAGGGGTGATGGGATGGGGGAAATACTGAAATTCCTGGGGCAGGGGTGATGGGATGGGGAAAAATCCCGAAATTCCTGGGGCAGGGGACGGGATGGGGAAAATTTGGGATTTGGGATGGGAGAGGGTCAGGGGATGGGATGGGGAAAATCCTGAAATTCCTGTGGCAGGGGGAGAGGGGTCAGGGGTGATGGGATAGGGAAAAATCCCAAAATTCCTGGGTCAGTGGGTGATGGGATCAGGATAATTCTGAGATTCTGAGATGAGGAGAGGGTCAGGGACTGGGAATCACCAGGATGGGGCAAATCCCAAAATCCAGCATCCCAAAAAATCAACATTCCAAAACCCAATATCCCCAAAATCCAGCATCCCAAAAAATCAACATCCCACCTAATCAACATCCCAAAATCCAGCATCCCCAAATCCAACATCCCAAAAAATCAACATCCCAAAATCCTGCGGGGCTGGCAGTGGGGACACAACAGCACAAAGAAAAGGGGAAAAATCCTGGAAATTTGGGAATTCCACGGGAATTCCAGAAAATGCAGCATCACCTCTAATTTAATCCTTTTCCCAGTTTTTTTGGGACATTCCCCAAAATAATCTGGGATTGGTATTTTGCTGACTCAGCACATTCTCCCCCCCCCCGATCAAATTCCCAGTTCCGGAAAAAAATAAAATAAAAGAAACAAAATAAATAAAATAAATAAAATAACATTTAAATAAAATAAAATAAAAATAAAATAAAATCTCTCCAAAATCCCTCCACTAAAACCACGAGAGAAGAATCCCCATGGGATTTATTTTCTCCCATTTTTTTTTCTGGGTGCATAAAAAACCCAAATTAATTAAATTCGAGTTATTTATGCCCAAATCACAATTTCAGGCCTTTCCCACTGCCTGAAATATCTAAAAATCCAAAAATTTGGGGCTGAACTGGGAAATTCCAGGTTTTCCAAGCAATTCCTGCATTTTTAATGCTAAAAAAACCCCAAAAAACAACATTAGAGCTTCCCACCCCCTTGGGCCGCTCATTTTCCTCTTTAATTCMATTTTTATCATTATTTGATCATTTTTAAACCCAAAAAAAATCCCTTTTCTGACCATTTTTAACTTTTTCAATCCCTAAATTCACTAAAACGGGCGCCAAAACTCCTTTTTTTTTCCTCCAAAA